ATAGTCAAGAGTATCCTTTAGGGTCAGTAGGAATCTGGGCTCTGTCACTTATTAGCTGTATGTCCTTGGACAAATGATACTTCTGGGTTTCAGTTTCTTCATTTGTCACACAAGAACAAAAATTGTACCTTCCTCATTGGTTGTCTGAGAGCATTAAGGTACATCATACATTTAACAAATATTTATCCAGGGTTATAGCTCCCTATTTGTCAGGTACTATACTTGGTGCTGAAGGCACCAAAGTAAATAAAATAGACAAAAAATCCCTGCCCTTATGGGGATTATATTCTAGTAGGAATAGACAGACAATAAAAATATATAAATACTATGGAGGGAGATAGAGAAGCTGATGGTATTTGTGAGAGCATGGTGGAAAGTATCACTGGGAATGAGACCATTGGGCAAGACCTGAAACACAATCCAACTAAAGACCTTTATATGGTGCACAGAGGTTGTAATATACATGTTAGCTATTTTTTATTCATTAACTCATTAATTTTGTTAGCCACTCATCCATTCACCTCCGCATTTGTTCAGTAATTCAATGACTAATTCTCAATCACCCATCTATCTCTTCATCTATCCATTCATCCTTCAGAAAATGTCAAGTGAAGGGATATATGCATTGTGGATTGAATGCCCATCTTATCATCTGACCCGAGGTTCATTCAGGAGGAATTAGGGCAGGGAATTGAAGGCTTGGGATGGTTATTGATCAGAACATGGTGTATTAGAGTTTTTCACAAAACATAGGATAGAAAGAGCCTAAGTGGTTTCTTTTCAAGCTAACGTTTATTGAGAATATACTTTTTGCCATGACCTGTGATAAATGCTTTATATGCATTATCTTACTTAGCACTGAGAAGTTAATTTGTAGTTGCTACTTAATTTGTAGATGAGAGAACTGAGTCTTGGAGATTGCTAATCAGCCTAAGGTCAGAGAGTGATTGGCAAAGTTAGTATTCAAACTTGGGTTTGACTTCAAAATTCATGGGCTTACATGCCTGGGCATATACCCAGATAAAACTCTAGTTCAAAAAGATACATGGACCCCTATGTTCATAGCAGAACTATTTACAATAGCCAAGACATGGAAACAACCTAAATGTCCATCGACAGATCAATGGACAAAGAAGACGTGGTGTACACACACACACACACACACACACACACGCACACACACACACGCACACACACACAATGGAATACTATTCAGCCAAAAAAGGAATGAAATAATGCCATTTGCAGCGACAGGGATGGACCTAGATTTTATCATACTAAGTGAAGTAAGTCAGAAAGAGAAAGACAAATACCATATGATATCACTTACATGTGGAATCTAAAATATGACACAAATGACCATATCTACGAAAGAGAAACAGACTCACAGACATAGAGAACAGAGTTGGGGGGCGAAGGGGGGGGGGGGGGGGGGGGGGGGAGGGAAGGATCGGGAGTTTGGGATTAGTGGATACAAACTAGTATATACAGGATGGATAAACAACAAGGTCCTAGTGTATAGCACAGGGAACTATATTCAATATCTTGTGATAAACTATAATGGAAAAGAACATGAAAAAGAATATATATATGTATAACTGAATCACTTTGCTATGCAGTACAGCAGAAATTAACATAACATTGTAAGTCAACTCTACTTGGATAAAATTGTAAAAACAACCAAACCAAACCAAACCAAAACAAAACAAAAAAACAAAATTCATGGGCTTAGCCGGTTTACTGCAAGGACTCCACCAACTCTGGGTCCGTAAGCCAGTCAGCTGACCCCTTTTACCTTCATGTTCTCAGTCATCACATGTAAGATTCCATTTCTGCTCAAATCTCAAGGTTGAATGAGAGGACGTATGTGTGTGGACAGGCATCAGGAATTAGCAACCAGAAGGGGTGCCATGATTGATTCACTGAGCTCTGGCTCCAACACGCCTGAAAGGGCTTGTTATTACATGACCTTTCATTTCTCAAGCCTCTGATGATGGTAAGACAGCAGTCTGCATGCAAGGTGAATTTGAACTGCTACCTGCTTTCCAATTCCCCCTGGAAGGGCCCTTAGCAGGCTAAGAAGCTGGAAGAGGTATTTCACTCTGGTTTCCAGTAATTTGTTCTGCTCTGTGAACTTCTGTGTCTGCTTGTCCAATTTCATGAAAATTGGATTAATGAGTGTTAACTGGTGCTGCTTAGCTAGTTTAAAAGGGATAGTGTCGGGCTTCCCTGGTGGCGCAGTGGTTGAGAGTCCGCCTGCCGATGCAAGGGACACGGGTTCGTGCCCCTGTCTGGGAGGATCCCACATGCCGCGGAACAGCTGGGCCCGTGAGCCACGGCCACTGGGCCTGCGCGTCCGGAGCCTGTGCTCCGCAACGGGAGAAGCCACAACAGTGAGCGGCCCGCGTACAGCAAAAAAAAATAAAAAAATAAAAGGGATAGTGTCAAATGGAGGAAGAGCGTCCTGGTGTGATGGTTGGATCCCTAGGCTGCTAAGAATCAGGGTTCTGCATGAATGCCAATATCACGAGTTATTGTGGCAGCCTCCTCCAAGTTACTCTTCTAGAAGGCAGTATCACCCCAGAGACCTTTGAAAGGAGGAAGGACACTTATTCCACTAGAACAAGGAGAGGATTTGCTTAAGGGACTGGTAGTCTTGGTCAAGATGTTCATTCATTCATCAAATCTTTTCCAAGCACCTGATATGTGTCAGGCTCTGTGTTGGGCTCTGGAGAACCAGTGGTGAATAAAACAAATTTTCTGTCCTCATGAAGCTTATGTTCTATCTGAGGTAGGTAAACAATAATCAAATGAATATATGATTTAATGTCAAGCAGCATTTCCATCCGATGCTTCTATATTCTCCACTAAGTATGAAAAAAAGTTTGTCTTTTTTTAAAAAACAGCTTTATTGAGATATAATTCACATACTATAGAACTCGACCATTCAATGGTTTTTAGTATATTCACACGTATGTAAAAATCATCACCACCGTCAATTTGAGAACGTTTTCATCACCTCTGAAAGAAACTGTAACCTTTAGCTATGACCATCTTGTATCCCAACCCTCACCTCCAGCCCCAGGCAACTGCTCATCTACTTCCTGTCTCTATAGGTTTGACTATTCTGGACAGCAAAAAGGTCTTTTGAGAGTGAGGGGGCAAGGAAGGAGATTTTATTATCTCCACCTCCTAAAATGAGGCCTCTTGGACTCAGTTTCCCTTGGAGCTTTCTCCAAGGAAAGATGCAAATTTCCATAGCTTTGGTGTTTGGAGGTGGTAGGGGGTGCTGGCCAGTGTCCTGACAGAGGCATGACAGAGATATTGCAGGTTCAGTTCCAGACCACTGCAATAAAGTGAATATTGCAATAAAGCAAGTCACACAAATTTGGGGGTTTCCCAGTGCATATAAAAGTTATGTTTATATTATACTGTAGTCTACTAAGTGTGCAATAGCATCATGTCTAGAAAAATTATTTGCATACCTTAATTAAAGCATACTTTATTGCTAAAAAGCCTAACCAGTATCTGGGCCTTCAGTGAATTGTCCTAGTAACATCAAAGATCACTGATCACCAGCACAAATATAATAATAATGAAATAGTTTGAAATATGAGAATTACCAAAATGTGACATGGAGACATGAAGTGAGCAAATGCTGTTGGAAAAATGATGCAGTAGACTTGTTTGATGCAGGGTTGCTGCAAACCTTCAATTAAAAAAAAATGCAATATCTGTGAAGTGCAGTAAAGTGGAGCAGAATAAAATAAGGTGTGCCTGTACACAGTTACTCTTTTATTATCTTACCTTCCACCTCTACACCCTGCCTGAGGTTACATGCTCCCAGCCAGAGTATGCATGCGCAGACACAGAAGACTCCTGTGCCCTGTGCCGTCACATCTGAAAGCAGTAATAATCATGTCATGTTTATAGAAGCCCTGCCTCAGTCCAGTTGCCATAGTTCCCCACCTGGACTCTGCAGTAGCCTGCCCTCTGGTCTCCCCATTTCCCATCATCGCTTCCAACCTGGTCTTCCTAAGATACCAGGATACATGTTCTAAAGCATGAATCTGACCACGTCGCACTGTGCTGATGAAAATTCTACATGGTCCTCATTATAGTCGAGGTTCCTCTTCGTGGCCCTGTATAACCTGGTCCCTGCCAAACCTCTCCAGTGTTATCCATCACTATTCCCCCTTCACTATCTGAATCACTTGTGGTCCCTGCAAAGTACCATGCACTCCCTAACAGACCTTTGCACATGCTGTGGGCCTCTCTGGAACACTCTCTCCTGTCTATATTGCCTAACTCCGGCTCATCCTTTAGGTCTTAGAGATTACTTCCTTTGGGGAAGGAATATTTCTTCAGGATGTGGTTAGGTACTTGTATTAGTTTTCTATTGCTGCTGAAAAAATTACCCCCAAATTTAGCACTTTAAAACAACAGATGTTTATTATCTCATGTTTTCTGTGGGTCAGGAATTCAGGAGTAGCTTAGCTGGCTTGTTCTGGATCAGGGTCTCTTGTGAGTTTAGTCTTGACATTGGCTGGGGCTGCAGTCATCTGAAACATGATGAGGGCTAGAGGATCTGCTTTCAAAATAGCTCACTCATATGGCTGTTGGTAGGAGGCCTCAGTCCCTAGCCCCATGGGCTGCTTCATAGGACTGTTGAGTGTCCTTATAACTTGGTAGCTGGCTTCCCCAGAGTGGTCCAAGAGACAGCTGGGAGGAAGCTACAATGCTTTTTATGTCTGCAGTGAACTAAATGTTTATGTACCCCCAAAATTCATATATTGCAGTTCTAACCCCCAATTCTAAGAGGTAGGGACTCTGGGAGGTGATTAGGTCATGAAGGTGGAACCCTCGGGAGTAGGATTAGTGCCCTCATAAATGGGACCCCAAGGACCCCCTCTCCTTTCCGCCATATGAGGACATGACAAGAGGACCACAGTCTGTAATGTGAAAGAGGGTCCTCACCAGAACCTGACCATGTTTGCACCCTGATTTCAGTTCAGTCTCCAGAACTGTGAGAAATAAATGTTTGTTGTTTATAAAACACCCACTGGCATTCTGTTATAGCAGCTTGTGCAAGGTAAGGCAATGTCCCAGAGGCCGATGTCACATACTGTGGCTTCTATCATATTCTATTGGCTAGAAGTGACTCATTAAGTATGGCTTACACTCAAGGGGAAGAGAATTAAGCTCTACCTCTCGAAAGGAGGAGAGTTTGTGGACACATTTCAAAACCGTCATAGAGCCCCTTGTCCATGGTCCCACAGCGTCCTCCAGTTATCCTTACATTAGCACTTAGCAGACCATTTGTCACAGTCTGTCTCCCTCACTACTGCACTGGGGGTTCCCTGAGCATCAGGACCGGTTTCCATTTACAGTTATATTCCTAGATCCTACCACAGTCCCTTGCACAGTGCTTGGTAACCGTCTGTTTGTTTGAATGACTCAACGACCTGTCTGGACACATAAAACGTATAGATCAGTGCTTTTCAAATTTCCATGCATATACAGCACCTGGGTGGTTTGTTAAAATGAGGATTCTGCTTCAGTAGGTCTGGGGTGGAGCCTGAGATGCTGTTTTCCTAACAAGCTCCCAGGTGATACTGATGCTGTGCTTCATGGAGCAGGAATCTAGATCACGTGATCCTACTCCCAGACAAGCTTAATAACCTAGCTGGGGAGACACTTCATCCGGCAGGACAGCCCGGGGCCGCCCACAAAGCAGCGTCAGCCCAGTCGTGGGCACACCTACTGCATGCTGGGCTCCTCTTCCTTCAAATGCCTGGGATGAAAGAGGACGTGTCAGTAAAAGACAGTCGAGAAGGCGTCTGCGGAATACAGAAAGGCGTCCAAGGTTTGTGTGTTCTCTGTTGGCTCTGCAATGCTGGGCAGGGGTCACTCACGTGTGGGCGAAGGGAGTGTGAGGCCTGAGCAAGGGCCAGAGGGAAACTGGCTGAAGTGCCAGTGGGCAGCGGCAGGTGATGGGGTCCCCACACCCACCCCAGAGAACTTACGGAACCCAGTCTGTGTGATCCAAGCACCACTTTGGCTGGAGGCAGGGAGATTAAGAAGACGGTATATTTGTACCGCTCTTCACAGTTCTTGGGATGTACGATTCTACGAGTCACGTTTTAAGGAAAATTGAGTAGAGCCAGACCATTGAGATGTTTTCCGTTAATACCTCGGATCTCACTTTTATCCTTGTGGCTCTGATTTTAACAGCGTGGGGCACTGGCGTATATGTGTAAAGTCTGTGGTCTTAAGACAGGAGATTTCTTCTTACGACATGAAGGGCTGATCTAAGCGTAGGGTAATAATGATACTTCCCAACATTTGGGGAACAGTTTCACAGCCATTTAATCTAGGGGTTCTCAACCTTGACTGCCCATTAGAATCACTGGGGAGCTTTACTGGTTACTGATGCCTGCGTCCCACCTCCAGAGATTTTGACTTAATTCATCTGGGGTGTGGCTTGGACAGCATTTAGAAATCCTCCCCAGGCAATTCCACTTTGTGGCCATTGTTGAGAGGCACTGATTTAACCTTATAAGAGCCCTTCACTAATAGGCAGATAAGATTATCTTTTCTTTTCCTCCCTCCCTCCCTCCCTCTCTCTCTTTCTTTTCTTTCTCTTTCTTTCTTTCTTTCTATCTTTCTTTCTTTCTCTCTCTCTCTTTCTCTCTCTGTCTCTCCCTCCCTCCTTCCCTTCCTCCCTTCTTACTTTCTCCCTCCCTTCCTCCCTTCCTTCCTTCCTTCCTTCCTTTTCGTTCTACAAATAAAAAGCTGTATCACAAAATTGACTGATTGGCTCAAAGTCACACAACCAATAAGTGGGAGGTTCAGATCTCAAACCTATGTTAACTGGTTGTGCTCTTTCAATTTGTATCAGTATTGCCTCCAGGTGGCCAGTATTATGCCCGTTACAAAGAAAGAGAAACTGAGTGTGATGGTTGATTTTACGTGTCCACTTGACTGGGCCAAGGGGTCTTCAGATATTTGGTTAAACATTGTTCTGGGTGTGTCTTGGATAAGATTAATATTTGAATCAACAGAGTGAATAAAGCAGGTCACTCTCCCTAATGTGGGTGGACCTCATCCAATCAGTTGAAGGCCTGAATAGAATAAAAAGACAGACCTTCCAGCAAGTAAGGGGGAACACCTCCTGCCTGACTGCTTTGAGCAGGGACATTGGTCCTTTCCTTTCTTCAGACTGGAACTGAGACATCAGCTCTTCTTGGGTCTCGAGTCACCAGCCTTTGGGCCTGCAACTTCACCATTGACTTTCCTGCTTCTCAGGCCTTTGGAATTGTACTGCAATTTACATCATCAGTTCTCCTGGGTCTTCAGCTGGCTGACAGCAGGTCTGGGGACTTAGCTTCCATAATCAGGTGAGCCAATTCCTTACAATAATAAATTTTCTTTATAATAATAGTAAATAATAAATGTTATTATTTATAATAATAAATCTTATATTCTAGTAATATATCTCCTATTGGAGAACGCTAAGGGATGGAACAATTAGGTTTCTAGATAAAGGTCAGACTTTGAGCTAGGGGACAGTTAGTTAGGGTTCCAAGTCCCTTACGTTCCTGGATGTTCCTTCGTCTCTTGTTTCTAGTCTTTGAAGCTAAGTTTGGGCCAATACCCATATCAGATAAACAAATTCTAGACTCCTTGATGACAAGGTCAGTGTCAGTGTCTGCAGATGCAGGCCATGAATAGTCAAGGTTGGAAAATAAAAGTTGGCAGGAAGGACTGTACTTTATTGGGACCAAACCAAGGACGTCAGTGATCTTAGTTTTGAGCCATTCTTGATCCTGGAGTTCATCCAAGTTCTCCTTTGGACTGTTGCATCCTACCTGCCCATCATCCATCCCCAGTGAAATCAGCAGATGTTAATGATGGAATTTGGAGATGCTGAAAGGATTCCCATGGTGGTGAGGAAGATCCTAAATGTTTTACAAAAAAATAAAAATAAAAAGTATTATTTAAGGAAAGGAGCCAAAGTGCTCAGACACCACTTGGCAGCCAGGGAGTGTGTTAAATCGGAACAATCAGGAGGGAAAAGTACTTTGTAGTAATTTTTTTCGAAGCTGGTTCCAGAGCTCCTTCCTCTTAGGAGAGAACTGTCTATGTTTAGAACCAAGGAGAGTCTTACATTTAGAGTTTTCTGTAGGTGTGGAGTGTGAGTCCCTGAGGGACTGGTCTGCAAAGAGACAGTGGGATGATGAGATAATAGGGCATTGAGCAGGGAGGTGCCTGACAGCAGACAGAAGAGAATGAGGAGAGGGTGGCAGACACATGCCTGGATGCTGGAGAATGTGCAGGCAGGTGGCTGATCAGGGATTTGGGGATTTTGAGAATGGGAACATCTAATATTAAATTCTAAATCGTTTGAAATGCTCTCATGCACTTTCTTACCTGAAAGCTTTGGTAAAATCTTCGGTTTACATAGTCTAGCCGTAGTATTTTGGGGGATTGATGGATTGGGGTGTTTATTAGGAGGGGTGATATGGTGCAGAAAGAAGAAAAAGTATGTCTGGTATTTTTGCCGTAAGTACTTTTGCTGCGTAACTAATTGACCATAAGGCAGGTTTGTTGTAAAAGATAAAATAAGGAAAAATAAAAGAGGGGCATTAAAAAGGACATAATGAAACATGAAAAATGGGTAACAGACTTTATCGCAAAATACAAAATATTTGAAATGTGTGTAAATTCATGGCAATACTGCGCAAATAACTGATTTTATTTTGCATGTTGTATCTAAGCACTTGTGTTCCAAGTCTTTCATTCACAGTATTTTATACTATTTATTTATTTACTTTGTTTGCTTGTTGACTTGTCGCCTCATTTGGCATCACACGTCTTCTATTTTGATAAAATTCTTCATAGAGAGGCATCAGCTTCCAAATACTAGGATGTATATTTGTACCTGAGCTTTGTATCACGTTGGGAAAGCTGTTTGTTCTTAGCAGGTTGTCACGTGTCCACTGATAGACGTTCCAAAGTTTTATGGAAGGTGTGGGTTCAACTCTACACCTTCAAATCACTGAAGGATTTGCAACTGATACATTATCATTTTCTAGTACAGCACTCACTCTGGCTTTACGCTCTCTCTCTCTTTTTTTTAAAGAAGATGTTGGGGGTAGGAGTTTATTAATTAATTAATTAATTTTTGCTGTGTTGGGTCTTCGTTTCTGTGCGAGGCTTTCTCTAGTTGTGGCAAGCGGGGGCCACTCTTCATCGTGGTGCGCGGGCCTCTCACTATCGCGGCCTCTCTTGTTGCAGAGCACAGGCTCCAGACGCGCAGGCTCAGTACTTGTGGCTCACGGGCCTAGTTGCTCCGCGGCATGTGGGAGCCTCCCACACCAGGGCTCGAACCCGTGTCCCCTGCATTAGCAGGCAGATTCTCAACCACTGCGCCACCAGGGAAGCCCTTTACGCTCTCTTAATCACACTTCCAGTAAGTTTTATCACCGTCTTTTCTACCAAGTCCATGTAAGTAGTTATCATCTATTTTAAGACTGCCATGCTATTCATCACTGTATAGACTATCATGAGGGCTAAGATTGATGGAATGTAAAAACTGGAGTCCTATGTCCACTAAGAAATGAAACCAAACTGTCAACAACTTAAAACCAAACTGTCAACCAGTTATCTTTTACGGCAAGATTGCCTTATGGCCAAGTAGTTATGAGGCAAAAATGTTTGCGTAAAGATGTTTATGGCAAAGATGCTTACAGCAGAAGTACCTAGAACTGAAAAAAAGAACCTGCAGAATAGAGGAATGATTTGTACAATGAACCAATTTAGTGGAAGTGGAACCCAGGTTGTAGCTGAACTTGAGCTTCCCCAAGAAGCTCCAAAGAGACTGGGGGCAGTGCTGTGCTTCCCTTCATTCAGGGCATTTGAGAAAATGTTACTTGCATCTTAGAAGTCAAGGTGATAGATACCACCTTGTCATGAATAGAAGACATCAATTCTCAAATAGAGAATAATTGTTCTGACCAGACAAAATGAAACGCCCCTGAAGAAATTATGGAAGTAGTGGCAGTCCTGTTCATTTATTCATTCATCAAACACTGGCACACCATTTTGTGCTGAAAATATAGACACTGTCTCTGCCCTCAAGGAGCTTTACCTTGGGGTGTGAAGGCAAGGGGAGCTGACCTTTTTTGAGCTCCTTCTAAGTGTAGACAGTAGGCTTTGTATTTTATGTGCACTGTCTTTCTAAAATTCTCCCAACAGCTTTATGAGTAAGTAACTATTATCACCAAATAGGTAAGCTGAGGCTCAGAGACGTTAGGGAATTTGATTCAGCTAATCTGTAATGAAATCTGTGTTTGAACACAGGATTATCTGACTCCAGATTTGGAGGAGGAGTCCTTATTTTGGTCAGTGGCACTGGAAAATTGGTAGTAAGGAGTTCAGACTTGATAATGTGATTTGAAAAGTACTCCCCATATCTGTCCTGAGTCCTACCCAATCTGCTGTGATGCCCAATCAGCTTATCTGCTATCAGTGCTTTTCAACTGGGTTAACCATTACTTTCCTCCTCATCTCCTCTTTTAGTACCTTAACACCAACTCAGCAAGGCTCTGTCACCTCATCATGGATGAATCTACTAGCATGAGGGTTTTGGGTGCCTGCTGCGGGGGCAGAGGAGAGACTGGGAGCCCAGGAGGTTGATGCTACAGAAACATGGAAAAATATATTGTTGTTCTTTGTCTGGTACAAAGACTTTGTGCCAGAGTCTTTGGTACACAGACTCTCTCTTTTTTGATGCAAGTTAGAACCATCTACCATAATTAGCAAAGGGCAGTAACATGAGCCTTTTAAATGAGTCCTGTGCCCGGGCTACAAGGAGGAAAGGAGGGATTCATCATGTTGTTTCATAAGCATAAATACAACTAATTAAGTGAAGGTGAAATCTCTACCATCTATATGATGTTTATTTAAAATGATTTGCTCAAGACATGCCCAGAATCCTTCTCTTTAGGAAGATAGCTAGGAGCTGGGTGGAGACAATTTGGGCATTTGAGGAACAGGAACAAATTGGACTGCAAAGCTGAGAAACCACCTGAGCCAGGAGTTGGCTGTGACCAGTGGATGGACATCTGCTGTTTTTTTTTTTTTTTTTTAAACATCTTTATTGGGGTATAATTGCTTTACAATGGTGTGTTAGTTTCTGCTTTATAACAAAGTGAATCAGTCATACATAAACATATGTTCCCGTATGTCTTCCCTCTTGCGTCTCCCTCCCTCCTACCCTTCCTATCCCACTCCTCCAGGCTGTCACAAAGCACCGAGCCAATATCCCTGTGCCATGCGGCTGCTTCCCACTAGCTATCTACCTTACTACGTTTGTTAGTGTGTATATGTCCATGACTCTCTCTCGCCCTGTCACAGCTCACCCTTCCCCCTCCCCATAACCTCAAGTCCGTTCTCCAGGAGGTCTGCATCTTTATTCCTGCCTTACCCCTAGGTTCTTCATGACATTTTCTTTTTCTTAAATTCCATATATATGTGTTAGCATACGGTATTTGTCTT